AGGTGTCAAAACAAAGTTCATCTAAGTCCTGGTGTCTTACAGAGTCTTATTAAAGAAAGTATATCTATGGCACGGTTATTTACATCTCAAGACAAGAATATATATATCTACATTTTCTAACATGACTAAGAAACAAGATTGAGATATTAACTGATACACTTAGAAACAAGAGTGCTTTTACAGTACAGTGTCGACTTTTGTACAGGGGTTCTTATAGAAAAACGAAAGAGTTTTATTTTGAAATATTCTATAATTGTTAGACTAATTTAATGTGACTTTATTTAAAGCGTTTGGTATTCAGGATTCTTAAATGATTGAGGAGGAAGTTTTTTATGCCCCAGCCCTAGCGGAGTGGGCATTAAGTTTTATCCTTGTCCGTCTGTACGTACGTCCCAAAATTGGTTTCCATTCTCGAACTTTAGTTTGACTCAACCAAATGTTATGAAACTTATACACAATGCTTATTACCACAAAACACAGATCAAGTTCGAATTTTGGTGGCGTCACTTTTACAGTTCTAGAGTTATGCCCCTTTACAAATGGAAAAATTGCTGAATTTTTTGTTTCCGTTCTCTAACTTTAGTTTGCCTCAACCAAATGATATGAAACTTATGCACAATGCTAATTACCACAAAACACATATCAATTTCGAATTTTGGTGGCGGCATTTTTACAGTTCTAGAGTTATGCCCCTTTACAAATGGAAAAATTGCTGAATTTTTCGTTTCCGTTCTCTAACAAATTAAGTTTGCCTCACCAAAATGTTATGAAACTTATAATCAATGCTTATTACCACAAAACTCAGATCAAAGTACAATTATGGGTAGCGTCACTTTTACAGTTCTTTAGTAATGTCCCTTTATTAAGTTATATGCAAGCGTGGGCATCATCTGTGTCCCATGGACATATTCCCCATTTATTTTTTATTATTTTAATTTTTTTTGTGTTTTTTTTGGAAAGGGGGATGCATAAAGATGTGATTTGTAAATGTTAAACTAGTAGGTCTTAATAGTCTTTTTTAAATTTCTAAACTATGACATACTGGCTCTTTGGTCAGGTTGTTGTCTCTTTGACACATTCCCCGTTTCCATTCTCAATTTTATTGTCTAGAGACTAGATTTAGAGCTTTGAATTGACTAGACTTGTCTAGTGTTTAAGACAGAATGTTGACCTCTAGATGACCTTTCAATGGTCCCATGTGTTGTTAGATTACTGTCCTTGTTATAAAACAGAAAAGTTGACATAGGCTTTTTTGAAGGCTATATGGGTTCTTCAGAATGTATTTGAGTTGGATGCATGTGTATACATTTTGTACATTGTATTTTGTCATGACCATATGCAATATGAGTATAATCAAAATAAAAAAACTACAACTGGCGACCTTATACATTTCGTAACTACATTCCTTATACAACTTCTTGTCGGATGCCAAGTTATTCTGTAGCCCACTTTTCATTTTAATATGAATAAAAGAGACTTTTTATAATTTGTTTACATTCATGACATTATGGGTTTAAAGTTAAATCTGCAAGGTACATGTAACCCTTTTATGCATTAAGAAACATATGTATATATATATTGTGTAGGGAAAAAAGGCTACAAATTTTGCATAATATTAATACAGGACAATAAAAGGCTATTAGAAAGTCGTAAATCTTTCTGAATAAATTTCTGTAATGATGGGGGAAGTGTACTTTAAATGTATAGTAAATACTTAAGAGCAGGTAAACATGGTAAAAGTGCCAAAGACACGTCTAGATTATGTGTAAACAAACTTGAAGTCAGTTAGTGTCATATTTATTGGACCTAACCATATTTTATTTTACACACATACCTTTAATATACTTTAATATACCGGTTTATATGTACATGTGGTAGATAATTACAGTTTTACCCTCATTTTCCTGTGGCATTGGGAATTCCCATTCATTAATCCCAGTCGATACATTTTGCAGATTCTGGCATATACATGTACATGTATTTAGTGGTGATTTGTTATTGTCCTGAATATGCATGAAATATTTGCCACTGGACATCAAACAAATAACTATAATTGAATCATATTGCATTCATATTTGATTTGTGAAGTGAGCTAAGCAAGTCGGTACTCCAAAACTTTGTTAAAATTTTGATAACATGTATCAGGAGTCAAACTTGATTTTGGGTGAACATTTAGGCACTTATGATGTGTACTAAGTTTTTTGCATATCATTGTGTGTGTCAGGGTTAGAGGGGCATTACATTTCTTACAGTTTTGTGTCATATAGCATTATATAGTTACTTCAAAAAGGAAAAAGTAGTGTTAGAAACTATTGTGTTCTGAAAGGAATGTTGGTTCTTAATACATGCATGACATGTGTGCATTTGGAAAAATTTAGCAGATGTCTCTTTTAACAATAGCTTCAACAAATATGCTTCCACACTTACCTATAATATATACTAACACTAATCAGGATTTTAAGTAAAAACATGTGAGGAAATTTGACCACCAGATATTTTGTATGTAGGGTTGAGTTTAAAATTAATGTAAAATGGCATGCTGAAAAAAACCTGCCAACTTTACATGTGGAATGTAATTAAAGAGTTAAAATTAAATTAAAGAATTGTATTCAGTTTTCAACAATGTTCAAAAGAGCTATTTAAATCTTAGTTTTAATTAGAATTATAAGTAATGACATGTTTAGTTGAAATTTTTGACACACAATGTTTGTAAGTTCATGTTGACAGTTGCATTAGGTGCATTTTTTCTAATTTATGTGTAATTTTTATGTTTGTCATTCTTTATAATTGAGATGGATTTGAATAGTTAATAACTCTCTTAATGCCAAGCTTCTCTAAATGACACAATAGTAAATATGTATCAGCTTATACCTGAAAAATGCAAAATCATCTCAGAAAAAAAGTCTAAAAGTTCAAATACATATTAACAAAATTTTGAAAGAATTTCTTGAAATTTAAGTTGACCTCTGACATGTCTAAATGTCTTTTGTATGTTTTGAGTTGTTGAGTTGCTGTCTCGTTAAGTAATGATATAGTAATGTTATATAGTGTTGTCTTTTAGGAGCTACCATTTGATTTTTAGGGGGAGGGGGGTGGGGGGCTAGGATGAAATTTGAAAAAAATAGGCAGGACAGGAGTTTTGAGTAAAAAATGAGATTATTTGCAAAAAAAAAGGCAGGATGACAATTTATGTAAAAAAAAGTCAGGATAAACTAAAAAAAAAAGGCAGGACCAAATAGAGTGAAAAATAAAAAGGCAGGACCGAATAGAGGGAAAAATAAATAGGCAGGACAAAAGGTTTCATCCTAGCCCCCCCCCCCCCCCCCCCCCTAAAAATTAAATGGTAGCTCCCTTATTCACACACTGAAACACTTGCACGAGGGGCTGGATGGGTTTACAGAGTAGAGAATAATGAACCAAAAAATAAAGAATAGAGAAAAACTGGGCTACTAGTAATCACAGAAAGGAAATAGACGAACAATTTGTATGTAGGGGCCCACGTGCAGCCTTAAAGAATTTAGTAGTCTTGACTACTGGGTCTATGCTAGTCTGTTTTCCTGCTAAAAATATGCCAGGCAAATGGTCAAACAGTCTCTGAAAATAACTGGTATCCGACATGCTCAAATACCATCTGCCTGACTCATTACATAATTTTTGGCAGTTTTGTAATATTATCTCAGGCATTTGGTCAGATGCTTAACATGTTGATTTTTGGGGTTCTTTATATTTTGCTGTTCGGTGTGAGCCAAGGCTCTGTGTTGACCTATAATGGTTTACTTTTATAAATTTTGACTTGGATGGAGAGTTGTCTCATTGGCACTCATACCACATCTTCTTATATCTATGAAGAAAGCATGTCTGTAGACATTTTCCTGACAATTAGATGGTTAGACTGATTTAATGACTTGTTTTTTTCCTACGGTCTTTTTAGATAACTATATTGTCATCAGATACAACATGTTGACCTGCATGTACATGTACGAATGAAAGAAACATGTATGTACGAATTATAATTCATGTTAATTGAATGTTCATATTATTATAATGGAAACATAAGATTTTTTGCAAGTTTTTGATTCATTAGTTGTAAAATTTTTTTTTTTTTTTTTAAATTGATACTAAAGTTGAAAAGATCTTTCAAATGTTGGATATTTTGACAGAACAATTTGACACCTTCTTGATAATTTTATGTGAGTCAATGTAAGTAATGCCTTAAGTCATGTAAGTTACTCATGCAAAATCCATTTTGTACATATGTACATGTACACACTGTTTGGGTGTACTGTTTTTATGCAGCTGTATATTTGTGTTGTTATACTTTTATATATGTTTTCATTCTCTACTTCAAATAGGGGACTCGTTGGTCAAGTGGTCTTAGTATTTTATCTACAGTATCACTATCCTGTCAACACTGAGGTTATGAGTTCAAACCCAGCACATGGCAGGTGCTTTCGATTTCAATAAAAAATTATTGGGATTGCCAGTTTTCCTAGTGAAGGTCATGGTTCTCTCAGGGCACTCTGGCTTCCTCATCCAAAAAAAAAATACTGACCGCCACAATAAAGCCATAGTGCTGAAAATTGCATTAAACACCAATACTGGATCAATCAATCTACCTCCAAGAAAGTACATGCCAGACGAAAAATCCTGACACATCTGATTTCAGTCAATATTTTAATTCTTCATCTGTTTGGTTCTCAAAACATGCAAAAACAAGCACTCTCATTAGTTTCTATGAAAACAGGATTTAATAGCTCCCAATATAGCATAGATCTCTCAATGGCAGATTCTGTAATTGAAAATAAAGCTTTATCAATTTTGTGTTTTTAATAAAATGAATTACAACTTTTTTAGACTAGAGCTTGACTTAGAAAAAACTATTTGAGACTGTATGTAATGCCCTCTAGTTGTCTTTTTTTATGTCTTGTTTTAGCATAAACCCTTGCATCTCTTTTTATTCATACATGTTATTTAAGAAAAACAATTTTGTGTATTTTCAGGAAGTCCCTTGCTGCTTTTTGCCAATCGTAAAGATGTCAGAATTGTGGATGGTAACAATTCTCGAGGTAATTCCACCGTTGTCGCAGGAAACCTCGAGGATGCTGCAGCAGTGGATTTCCTTTATGAGGACAGATCGGTCTTCTTCACGGACGTCAGCCAGGAAATGATCAAAAGAACATGGTTTAATGGCTCGGAAATTACGGTAAATGTCATAACAACAGGTCTCATCTCTCCAGATGGTCTGGCTGTTGATTGGTTAGGTAAAAAGATATACTGGACCGACTCTGAAACTAAAAGAATTGAAGTCGCCAACTTGGATGGAAGTTACCGAAAGGTACTTTATTGGAACGACCTTGACCAACCAAGAGCTATTGCACTGGACCCGTTAAATGGGTAAGTTTATCTGAGTTATACTTCACACAGGGAGTTTGTGTTAAACATTACTTGTATTTGTGTTCAGTGAAAGACTAAAAACAGGGAGATAACTCTTGATTAAAGTTTATAACACAATCTTATTTACATGTACAACCCAATATTAATATATAGAGAGGGTATGTCTGAGTAAATCACCAAGAATCGCTAGTATTCACTGTGAAAAAACCACTACCAAGAGTGTTGAATTTACAGTTTATTGGTATGAGTAATGAGTTCCAATGGACCCAATACTAAAAGACATCCATTAAAATGGGCTTTTCCTTTGCTCTTTGTGTTTTGCTGTGCATGTACTGATTTTGTGTCGTGGATGGATATCCCATATCCATTCTTTTCTATTAATATGAAAATAAGAAGATGTGATATATTGCCAATGAGAAAACTCTCCATCAGAGATCAAATGACATAGCAGTTAGCATCTTCAACATTGCTAACAATGGCTTAGTTTTAAATGTTAAAGTCGTATTGATTGAAATATTGAAATAATGTCTAAAATTATCATCATTCAATGAGTTAAATATTATATAAACTATCTTATGTTAACAGGTACATGTATTGGACTGACTGGGGAGAGACACCAAAAATTGAACGAGCTGGAATGGATGGAACTCATGCACATCGATCTGTCATTATAAAGGAAAATATTCATTGGCCAAATGGACTAACATTAGATTACGAAGATTCACAAATTTATTGGGCGGACGCTAAAAATGCTTTCATACACAGCTGTAAGTTCGATGGTTCTGATCGCCGTGTGGTCGTTGAAGGAGAACTGCCTCATCCTTTTGCCTTGACATTGTATGATCGAACGTTATATTGGACCGACTGGAAGGAGAGGTCCATTTATTCCTGTGATAAAATTACCGGTAGTAATCGGAGAGTTATACTTGAAGAGATATATTCACCAATGGACATCCATTCATTTAGTGCTAGAAGACAACCAAAAGGTAAATAATATAATAATTTAGTGAAATAAAACTAGAAGCATAGCTCCCTATTATTTTCAAATAGCACAATGGGATATATTAAAGCAATTTTATCCTAATTTTATAGCATATTTATGAAGCACCATGGTAAAAAATATAGTACCTGTAACCAATCATGACCATGGTGCTATAACGCGCTGGATGAACACTGAGTAGGTTGGTTTTACACACCTGTTAACACTATGTTTGAAAATACCATTGAAATTTGTTCATTACAGATAAATGGAGGATAAGGTATTACCCATATACTCTTTTTCATTGTAAAATTAAAATGAAATGGACTATATAAATTTGTTAACATTATAATATGCACAAAATGTCTTAAAGTACAATCTGATCATGTTGATCAACAATTGGAAAGTGGTATTTTTAAATGCAGTGTATTTGTGGTTCAATTAAGAATCTTTGCAGAAGGTTACTTCAATCTATAATATGAAGTTTAGGATTGGGGGTTTTTAGTTGGAAACGTACAACAGTACAGGGTCTTATATGTGCTTGTTTTATATAATTTGTGAACAAATCTTGTGGAATATTTTCAATGATTTGAATTTAATGGGAAGTGATGCTAACAACTCACATGTATGAATATTGTTGAGAGAAACTAAGCAGAACTTCTCCTTAAGTGAAATGTTAAGAATCAATGCCTCTGTACATTGTAAATTTGGATGGAAAAAGGCCCTTTATGAAAACTTTAGAAAAGTATTGATGTCGCAATATGTTTCTTAAAGAACATCAACATTCCAAAATTGATAAAAAAAACTAAGACAACTACATTGTACTTGACCATGTGACATACAAGGCCAACTCACAATGAAACCTTAAGGGTCTGGATGGAGTTTACAGAATAGAGAACAATGGACACCCCAAAAAAAAGAAAAGAGAAGAATTGGCAGAAAAATAAAGGATATAGAATAATGGGGTGCTAAGATAGAAAGAAAAGAGAATAATGAGCAAAATTTATAAAGAATAGAGAAAACTGGTTTAAAACATTGAAAAATACAGAATTTTTAATGAGGAACTTTGCATTACATTGATTTACATTGATTTACATGTTACATAACTTTATATGTAAAACATGCTGAAAATTTGAAAAACCAGGCACATCTATATAATACTTTTTTTTCAGCAGCTGTTGTTTCAAATAAATAAAACAAAAACAATTTACATCTTTCATAACATTTCGCTGTGGGCTGATAACAATTAAGACAATAAATTGCTTAATGTAATGTAAATGTTAGGATAGACACATTAGAGAAAGTCGTTTGTAGATCTATAGTTGTATTGGGCATGATGGATATATCATTTATCTTTTTTTTTGCCTGCCAGTCAAAAAGTCACAAGGTATGCATGGATGTTGTACATGTGTTGGTGTTTACATGTGTTGATGTGTACATGTGTTGTTGTTTACAATTAGTTAATCAAGCTTAATGAAGACCATTTATTTTTCTATTTTCAATTTTGTTATCTGGTTATGGAGAATACATGTATTTTTGATTGCATTGGTTTTCTTGTCTATCTGAGGTCACATAGTGATCGAGAATAAATAGATTCGAGAACCAATGTCATGAATGTCATGAATAGTTTCAGTTTTATGTGTAAGGAAAGTAAATAATTATTTTCCTGTAGTTTTAGTGATAACATGTTTGAATTAGAAAAACAAAGCTAGAGACATATTAAAAGTCAACGTGTTTTGCTCAGCTATTCAGGAATTTTTTTTTGTCATAAAAAAGAGTTCCTTTATCTGAATCACTTTGGCTTGTCATGCTTGTGTACTGTACGTATCATAGATAAACAAGGAAACATGACGTAACCGTAACAGTAAGTGAAATCCACTTCTCCAAGAAGATGACCACATCTCCCTCTTAAAAATCCTAGATTAGGCCCTGCAGGTAATTTCTAAATTGAATTATTAGATGTCTTAGTAGTAGGTTAACATCTGTGGTCCTTTGCTGTAACATGTTCACTGAAGCCTAAAGCAGTGAATTCTTGTGAATTACATACAATGTAAGATCGTTTGTGAAGCTGTCAAGGTGCAACAGGGAGATAATTTGTCAGCTTCATTAATGGTTGATGTGTTATTCCTCTAGGCATTCCTCTTTCCTTATGTCCTCTTTTATAACACAGAGAAAACTGATTCTAAATTTAAAAAATAGACTATTCTATACATTGGTACATATTCAGAAATGTTTGCAATGTTTTTAAACTGTTAAAATTGTGACCGGATATACTTTTGCAAATAAAAAAATTACATATCTGAAATCGAAATAATACTCTCACATTTATTTTGGTTGGCAGTCTAAATGACATCTGACTAATCAAGTTTTTATCACTTTAATTGAAACGTTGAATAGAAATACTTGACGGCATGCTTAAATCTTGTTATAATACAATGTACATGTTATAAAAGTAAATGGCATTTACAAGTATTTAAAATTAGGAGATGTGGTATGATTGCCAATGAGCTTGATGAGACAACTCTCCACCAGAGACTTTATAACAAAGAAGTTATCAACTATAGGCAACCTATCGTCCTTCGACAATGGGCAAAACTTACACTGCACAGCAACCTATAAAAGGCCTAGAATCTCAAATGTAATACAATTCAATCTAAAAATTAATTGGCCTGATTTACAAGATTTATGTACAGAACAATGGACGTAAAGCAAATATGATCTACAGCACTTAATTATAGGCTCCTGACTTGGGACAGGCACATACACAGTGTATGTCCACTTCATCATTTTAAACATTTGAGGTATGTTAAAGATTAACCAATAACTTCACAGGGTGGAGTACCTTTGAGATCAATACATGTAGGTTGAAGCTATTTACCCAAGAACAATCAGAATTCACTATATATCAGAATTTCATACAGATGCATTATAAAAATTTAGAAAATTGAGAAAATTAATTGTAAGCAAACAGAATCAATAGAGATTTGTTGGTATATATTTAGATTGAGATTAATCAGATTCATCGCTGGTAGATTACTTCTTAGAATAATCTGTTTAATTTCAAGATAATAGATGGCTTTATTTATCATGGTTTTTAATCAGTTGGCAGAAAATGTAAAATTTGGCATGGTAGTATTTGACAGTCTGTTACCTCCCAGATATATATGTTGTGTCGTAACAAAGCATGTTTTATTGTTATTTTCCCAGCCTGTCTTAAGGCATGTTTTTGTTACGTAACTCTTGTACCATATAATGGCTGTTATTGACTTTTTTCTTAAAGATTATATTTTTTATCCAGTCTGCAGTTTACTTAATTGATGTCAATTATGTTGATGCATGTTTATAAAAATAAGGAAACGTGGTATGATTGCCAATGGGATAAATATCCACCAGAGACCAAGTGATGTGGATGTAATCTCCTTAAATTTTAATATAATGTAAAAATAAGGAGATGTGGTATGATTGCCAAACAGACAACTATCCACCAAAGTTCAACTGAAGTGGATGTAAGCAGTTTTAGGCAACCTTACAGCCTTCAGCAATGAGAAAAATCCTTAGCTATAAAAGGCCTGACATGAAAAATACGAAACAATTCAATTGCGAAAAACTAACAGCCTACTCTGAGTCCCTGGAATCTCGTAATTTTTACCATTTTTTTGAGTCTTATCATTCCAAAACAGATCACAATGCTATTCAAGCAAATAGACTTCAATGATTTCTTTTTTAGTGTTTGATTTTGTTAGGTTGCTGTCTCCCACATATCCTTTAAATTTCACATATGAATGTATTTCAAAGGTGCTTTGGACTGCAATATTAAACTAAAAAAATTGACCTTACAATGTATGATCAAGACCTTTAACCGTAACACATATTTAACCCTTGCCCTGCCCCTAAGTCTGATAGTAGAACACATGTTTTAACCCCTGCCCTGCCCCCAAGACTGTTAGTTATTTAGTTCAATATATAAGTACTGTAATTTCTTCAATAAGTCCAACTACTATATCATTCTCTCTTGAGAGTAAAAGGAGATGTGGGATATACTTCAGTAAGATTGAAACCTTAGCAGAGACAAGAAAAAAATTGAGATAAAGACTACAATTTTATAAAATTATGTCTCTGTATGCTATGTATAATAACTATCAGTTACATGTTCAAATGTACAAAGTGCAAACAAGAGCCGTGTCACACGCTGGGAAAGATGAAAATCGACATTACATTCATAAAAAATGTTGATACTTAACTAAAGCTAAGTACAAGACAAGATGACGTCTTAGAAAAAGGAAATACTTCATACATAATACTAATTAAAATTGGAAATTTGAACAAATGGAGTGTGTGTCAAGTGATACCAATTTGATCATGTGGAAGTATTATAATTGTTATTTGTAATATAGATATTGTTCACATGCTAAAATTTTTAAACTCATATTTTAGCAAATCATGACCTTTGTCATGTTTGTGTTATTGTAAAATATTATATTAAATTAAGTTGTTCTGGTGTTTTATAAGTGCAATAAACAATGTCACTTACAGTTTGACAGTGACTTATTATAATTTACTATTGGGTTCATTACAACACACACCTCCAAGCATTGCATGGTTGTTGAGAGAGAGGGGTCACTTTTTTTATTTCCATGCCAGGGCAACCCCAAAACATAATGATTGGTATAGACAACTTATCCCTTAAGCTCGTATCATATAGGAGTAAGAACAAAGACTTCTGGCTTATACAGTTAGGGGGAAATTTCTTTGGAGATATTTAACTAATGAAAAAATTACTGATTAAATCCTGATCAGAGTCTCGAAAAGAGTTAATCCCTAATTTGAATGAAAATAAAGGCCAAATCCCGAACTCCCCCCAAAAAACAATTTTGAAGGATTAATCCCATCTTCCAGAAAAAGGTCCTTGGGCCCTCCAGTAACATGTTATTATCCTTAATAGTTTGTAATATTTGCTGCCGGACAATCCTTAATAGTTTGTGATATTTGCTGCAGAACATTAAGCAGCCAATTATCAATCAGTCAAATGGTATTTTACTTATATCAGAGCTGTGAAAAAAATGTCTGTAGTTTTATATGTATTTTTGCATTGTAGTAATTTTGTGTGGTTTATTTTACAGATACAAATGAGAATGCCTGTGATAAACATAATGGTGGCTGTTCACACTTATGTCTTATGTCACCAGCTCATCCTTTCTACACATGTGCCTGTCCCACAGGAATCAAACTTAAATTGGACAACAAAACATGTAATGAAGGTAGGTATCCACACAGCTCATCCTTTTTACTCATGTGCGCATGCCTGTCCCACAGGAATCAATCTTAAATTGGACAACAAAACATGTAATGAAGGTAGGTATCCACACAGCTCATTCTTTCTACACATGTGCCTGTCCCACAGGAATCAAACTTAAATTGGACAACAAAACATGTAATGAAGGTATCCACACAGCTCATTCTTTCTACAGATGAGCCTGTCCCTCAGGAATCAAACTTAAATTGGACAACAAAACATGTAATGAAGATAGGTGTCCACACAGGAATCAAACTTAAATTGGGCAACACAACTTTAAATGAAGGTAGGTTTCCACACAAGGGTTGAACTTAAAGATATGACAACAGAACTTGCAATGAAAATAAGTTTCCATTCAGAGGTTGAACTTAAAGATATGACAACAAAACATGTAATGAAGATAGGTGTCCACACAGGAATCAAACTTAAATTGGACAACAAAACATGTAATGAAGGTAGGTATCCACACAGGGATAAAATTTAAATTGGGCAATGGAAAAGGTAATGAAGATAGGTGTCCACACAGGGAGCAAACTTAAATTGGACAACAAAACTTGTAATGAAGGTAGGTTTCCACACAGGGATTAAACTTAAATTGGACAACAAAACAATATGTCATGAGGATAGGTGTCCACACAGGAATCAAACTTAAATTGGGCAAAAAAACCTTGTAATGACTGTAGGTGTCAACACAAGCTCAATCTTAAATCTGACAATATAACTTGACAAAAGGTAATTAGATATTAGAATATGTTTAGTTTGTCAATATCTAAATAGCTTTGGTCATTCAGATACAGTAAGCAAGTGAACATTGATAAGATCAGGCTAAAAAGTAAAAATTGTTTGACAATGGGCTGTTGGACAAGCACTGTTTTACCTTTTTGACGGTACTGGACTTCACAATCAATAATATACATCTCAAAAATTAATGAATTAACACAATAACAGCATATGTTGATATGGAATAATGAACAAGTCAATGCAATTTTTACTTTTAAAAAAAGTATCGAAGTTTGGACCATACATTGTACTTCAAATACATATGAAATACTGTATGTAAAATATATAATTTTGTTATTTGTAGGATATGAGCAATTATTACTGCTAGCCAGAAGAACAGATTTAAGGAGGATATCACTAGATACACCTGACTACACAGATGTGGTATTGGAACTCACTAATGTACAGCATGCAATAGCTATTGATTTCGACCCAGTGGATAACCAAGTATATTGGACTGATGATGAGGTGCATGCAATTTGGAGGGCGAATATTGATGGAACAGGTAAAGCTGGATGTTTAAGTCTTATTTTCAGTTTTTCTTGGCTTTAATATTAGAAGGAGTTATTTCCCTTGTTGGCAAATTTTTGTATAGGTTTCATATTAAGATAGGAAGATGTGGTATGAATGCCAATGAGACAACTCTGCACCAGAGATTAGAAGTTGGCAATATTTCATGTTTTAGGCTTTTCAAACAACTTTGTGGATATATTTCTCACACCTCACTCATTGCTTAAACAAGATATTTTAGTTTAATATAATTTCTACATAACTGTTTTCAACTTCTGCTGAAAAACTTTTCTCTGGCCTAGACTTGACAAATTTGTTTTGATTTTCCAGTATAAGCCTGATAAATATATATATGAAAAGAGAGACAACTCTTGCCATTCCAGCACATTTGAAAGTGAATAAATTTATAATAGCACATCATCATTTGTCTTTTTTGTTTGCAGATGAAGTGCTTGATAATAATCCATCCTTTGTAATGCCCTAACAGAGTAATAGATGCCTTGTTATTTTAGCAGTCAGTCAGTCAATTCATTCGAGACGTATAACAATCTTATGTTCTTATGATTACCAAAGAACGAGACTTATAACAATATTATATTCTTATGATCACCAAAGAACATGTGATCACATAAAGAGTCCTTATATGTTTTGGATCTAAAGTTGGCATGGTGCCTCAAACTTCCATATTAGGTTTTCATTACGCTTACTTATGGTTTAAACAGATAGTACTTATGAAACTTAACACACTATTAAGTTTCCTTTTTTGGCAACTTTGATGATGAATTTTTGATGTATTTTTGTAAAAAGTAAAATAACAAAAATACCGAACTCCAAGGAAAATTCAAATCAGAAAGTCCCTTATCAAATGGCAAAATCTAAAGCTCAAATACATCAACCGAATGGAAAACAACTGTCATATTCCTGACTTAATACAGACATTTCCTTGTGTTGAAAATGCAAGTTTGTGCTTTTTTCTGAGGTAAGGTTACATGTCAAGAGGAAACTGTTAAAGGGGAAAAATTCAGACTTTTAGATTATGGATTTACATTCTTGAGAATGTAATGGATTGATAAATTTACACAATGTTTTTAGGTCAGGAGAAGGTCATTGACAACCATTTGATGCATCCTGATGGTATTGCAGTAGATTGGATTGGTCGTAATCTGTACTGGACAGACACAGGGACAGACAGAATAGAAGTGTCAAGGCTGAATGGAACCTCACGTAGAGTTCTAATAGCTGAAGATTTAGAAGAACCAAGGGCAATAACTCTTGATCCAATCTCAGGGTAGGTTTAATTTGTAAATTTTTTATCATTGATTTATGTTTTAGATAATAGAAATTTGTCTGCTTGTAAAATTATGTGCATGTTTTTGTCGTACAATTTTAAAATAAAGACAGTTGGTATATTTGCCAATGAGACAACTACAATGAATCAGTCAAGACCAAAGGATAAAGATATGATTTTTTACAAAATTGTGTTACACCTAGTTGTTGAAACAATGAATTTAAAGATATTTGTGAACACATGTTTACATTTCATTTCATTTACTAGAAGATGCTGTATCCGCTTCTTGAATTTACCTTGGAGTTTGATATTTTTTGTTATTACATTTTGTTCTATTACAGATACATGTACTGGACAGACTGGGGAAAGAAACCAAAAATAGAACGAGCTAATATGGATGGTTCTGGTCGATTAGCTCTGGTTAATGCATCATTAGGTTGGCCTAATGGGATCGCAGTAGATCATGCCGAGATGAAGATATACTGGGGGGACGCTAGTCTTGATAAAATAGAAGTGGCTAACTATGACGGCACAGGGAGACGTGTACTAGTCAATGAAAATCTACCTCATTTGTTTGGATTTAGTTTGTTAGGTAAGTTTATGAGAAAACTTGATAAAAAATGTCGACATCATTATTTAGGTTTCAGTTGTTTAAAAAGTGCATATCATTATGGTAACAAGTTATTACAATATCCTACTATTGATAAAAGAGAATGTGGCATTTATAATGATAATGACACTTCAGAAACAGGGCAAAAAAGAATAATACTTGTTTCCGCTAACATGCCAAAAAAAGAGGGTGGATAGGCATGCAAATAATTTTTATGCCCGGACAGTCACTGGAGGGGCATTAAGTGTTACCCTTGTCTGTACATCCGTACGTATGTCCTAAAATTGGTTTCCTTACTCTAACTTTCTTCAACCAGATGTTATGAAACTTACACACAATGCTTATTACCACAGAACGCAGATCAAGTTCGAATTTGGGTGGTGCCACTTTTGCTGTTCTGGAGTTATGCCCCTTTACAAATGGAAAAATTGCTGATTTTTTTGTCTGTTCTCTAACTTAAGTTTGCCTCAATCAAATGATATGAAACTTATACACAATGCTAGCTTATTACCACAAAACTCAGATGAAGTTAGAATCTGGGTGGTGTCACTTTTACCGTTCCTGAGTTATATCCCTTTATAACATTATATGCAAGGGGGGCATCATCTGTGTCCATTTATTTTTTAAGGTTTTCCTGGTTTTAAGAGGGGGGAAACTGTCACTTTAATAGTGCTTGTCCAAAAATGACAAAAATATCTTAAGGGTAGGCACTAAAAATTAGGGTTGATCAAGGAAGTGGAAACTAGATTTTTTCTTAGGCCTAGTCACTTTCATGTGTATATACTGGTTCAAATTAATAAAAAAAAAATTAACATTACAGGTGATTACATCTATTGGACTGATTGGCAGAGACGGTCAATAGAGCGTGTTAATAAACGGTCAGGAATTGATAGGAAGACCATTGTTGACCAACTGCCAGATCTAATGGGACTCAAGGCAGTCAACCTAGTCAAAATTGAAGGTAACATCTTTTCTTGAGGATAGGATATACTGTAAATTATAGAAATTATTGTGCACATTTATTAGGGCCCTGCCTAGTGGCAGGTCGCCCTATCATGATCAGTCTGTCCGTCTGTAACAAATTGTGTCTGCTCTATATCTAGAGAACCGTTATAATTTCATACTTTAGACATGACATGTATATTAACCAACACCAGAGGGTGTGTCATAATGTTTGTACAACTTCCTAGGTCAAAGTTCAAGGTCAGCGGGGCCCACAGAGATGGCTTCCATCTCAATGATGTCTAGTTATTGCTATTGTTGAACAAGAAACAAAATTTCGAGATTAATAATCACCATTATAGGAAATGATGCATACAAATAATGCTATCAAAGTTTGAAATGCAAGATTTAAAATTTTTTTTGCTAATCTTACTGTAAATTCAGAAATTATTGCGAGGTTTTTATTAATGCGAATAATGCAACTTTGTGAGTATCGCAATGATAAGAACTCGCATTCTTATATCTGATACAAATATCTGTATGCAGATTTTCCTGAAATCACAATAATTAATCTCACACTTTGGTCCATTTTTCAAAAATCGCAATAATAAAAGCACACAATAATTTCTGAATTTACAGTATCTTGTGGCAGATTTCACGATAATAAAAACTAATAAAAAATTTCTGAATACACAGCACTACACTACACTGTACTCATGAGACAAATAATAACAAGATATGTTTTCTTTGCCAGTTAAGGGATTTAGGTTCTTTGAAGCCTGTAGTCTAAATTTACAGGAAACATGAGTCAACTGTAGTTTACTGAAGTTCAAAACTTATATACCTTAGATTTAGTTACTCTCCCAGTTTTTACAGACCATAGAAAGCCGACTCAAGCAACTATAGATCACTAGAAGGCCTTCAACAATGAGCAAATCACTTACTGTACAGTAAATTATTTAAGGCTCAAACATGACAAAATCTGAAACAATTCAAAAACTGTTTTTACGATCTTTTGTACATATTGCATATATGATATTTCAATAATATATTTTAACAATTTTAATTCTAGGCACCAACCCATGTGCTCACAACAATGGTGAATGCAGCCATCTTTGTTTGATGACCCCTAATAAACCAGTATGTGCTTGCCCAATGGGGCTAGAGCTTAGTGGTAACAGTAAGACATGTATAATACCCGAGGCCTTCCTAATATTCAGCGGACAGCAGAACATCAAGAGACTGTCCCTTGAATCAAATCACAGAATCAGACCGATTCCAATCAGAGGGATCAAGGAAGCTCCTATTGCCATTGATTTTGATATTAATGACAATAGGATCTATTGGACAGACGCAACAGAGAGGGTATGATAATTTTTTTCTTCTATTTGTGGGTTGTAAATGTATATTGTTATGACTCTGCTGTTACAAATATAAATGTGTGGGGAGTCAGAAGACACTTTATTTTTTAAAATATAAAACTCAACAAAAATAATACTAAAAAAGACAAATACTGTAATTGTTCAGGCTATCTTTCTAAAATAATCTCTACCCTTAAAATATCAATAGAAGTGATTTCAACCCCTTTCCTCATCACAATCAATTTTGGAACAGCCCTTACCAATAAAATGAAATTGAGAAGAAAAATTGAATTTAAATTTAACAAAAAATAGTCAATAAGAGAGAAATAGTATGAACTGCAGTTACATTTTATACTAAATAAATTTTATTTTATTTATAGTGTTGAAAAAAGTCTTTCTTTTGAGTGTAATCAGGAACTTTACTTCTAGATATAAGAAAGGGCCTGTATGCATAAAGCTACTTAAGTTCAGATTTGTTCCGAACGGACATTTTTCTACATGTCCTACGATAAATTGGTATTACGATTGGATATCTTAACTTAAGTATGGCGTTGTCAGTTTATTTTTTCGACTTATGAGTTTGAATGTCCCTTTGGTATCTTTCGCCCCTCTTTTTTAACGTATGTAGCTTTATGCATACGGGCCCAGGTTTAGTTGATTGAAAGCCACAAGTGTTGTTTTACTTTCATGTATTCAAAAAATCATTCTTGTGAGTGTAATCAAAAACATTAGTCTAAAAGACAGATTAAAATCCACATTATCTATGAAAAATGTCTATATTGTTATGTATTAGGCAAAGTATAATCTCTATTTTCTTTGTCTCAACTGCCCCAAGAAAATATCTAAGAAATATTTTTTTTGGAGTAGACTATGAATCCATATAAATTTCCATTAATGTTTTTGGTCAAAATTAAGACAGAATTGACCATGTTTATTTGAAAATGTAGTCAAACATTAGAAATTGTAACATATCAGTTTTTCAAGACAAATAATTATGTATTCACTATTCAATGAAAAAATTGTATTTTTATGCCCCCGCTGTAGGTGATGGGGGCAATAAGTGTTACCTTTGACTGTCCGTCTTTCTGTCTTTCTATACGTCCATTCATCCCATTTTCGTTTGTTTGAAGATTGAGTGAGGCATTCATGTCCTCAGACACATTATTGTTTTATTTACTCTAGGATGAAATAATATGTATTTTACTGTAGGATGACATTATTAGGTATTTTACTGTCAGATGAAATAATTAGGTAATTCACTGTAGGATGACATTATTAGGTATTTTAATGTAGGATGACATTATTAGGTATTTTACTGTAGGATGACATTATTAGATATTTTACTGTCATGAAATAATTAGGTATTTTACTGTAGGATTACATTATTAGGTAATTTACTGTAGGATGACATTATTAGGTATTTTATTGTAGGATGACATTATTAGGTATTTTACTGTCAGATGAAATTATTATGTATTTGAATATGTATTTTATTGTCAATTGTAGACAATAAGCAGAGCTTTTATGAATGGAAGTGCTGTAGAAAAGGTGATTCAATATGGCCTGGAATATCCTGAGGGCATGGTTGTAGATTGGGTGGCTAAAAATATTTATTGGGTAGATACTGGATCTAAGCGAATAGAAGTGTCCAGGACTGATGGGACATCTCGGAGAGTTATTGTTTGGAAAGATCTACATCAGCCAAGAGCTTTAGCTATTGATCCAGCTAATGGGTATGTCCATTTTGTTTTTGGTTGACTTTGAAATACTGTGGAGAACTAATTTTTGTTGGTAAAGATGTACTACAAATTAAGAATAATTAAAAAACGAAATATTTTGTGCACGTTTGTCATAAACACAAATAATAGTATTCATTGGATTGTAATTGTACCTCAATACATGAAAATTGGTGTGCACAAAAAAGATGCGAGTCAATGTTTGGTTAACAGCATGCAAAATAATCACTCAAAAAAATAAAGAAGAGAAAAATGGCAAAAATATAAAATTAAAGTATACAGATATGAAGACCCCCTCATCCAGATACTGTAAATTCAGAAATTATGGCGTGCTTTTATTATTGCGATTTTTGCAGAATGGACAAAAGTGTGAGATTAATTATTGTGATTTCAGGAAAATCTGTTTACAGATATCTGCATCAGTTATCAGAATACAAGTTCTTATTATTGCGATACTCAACCAGTCTCATTATTCACATTTATAACAACCATGCAATAATTTCTGAATTTACAGTTCTCTTAAACAAATCGACTGTATGTTATTTTATAGTTATAGTTTTATTTGAGGTGACTTTTATATTTTGATATTTGATAGTATCTGTCAGAAAATTGATGGTTGCAAATTGTGTCTAATGGACCAATGAACTGTTATATGTAATCATCATAGCATAAATAAGTGCCAGCAAAAACCTAAAAGTTATCTTTGTGATCAATGAAACTGAAATATTAATGAGGCCAAAAAAAAAAAGAATATGTCTCCGGGTGCAGGATTTTCTCGCTGTGTTGAAGACCTATTGGTGGCCTTGGGCTGTTTTCTGCTCTTTGGACGAGGTTGTTGTCTCTCTGACATATTCCCCATTTCCATTCTCAATTTTACTGTTTAGGGTTTTCCCTATTACCAGATTTTAGCTCCAAACTTGAGGTTTATGTGCATTTCTTTATCATAAATTTTTCACCAACAAATTAATTTCATTAAAATATGGGACAGAATTCGTCAAAAAAGATCGTCCTGAATATGCATGAAATATTTGCCACTGGACGTTAAGCAACCAACAATCTTAAAAAAAGAGGCGAAAGATACCAAAAGGACATTCAAACTCATAAGGCCAAAAAAAAATATATGTCTGTTTACGGTTACCCGACCGACCCCACTTTTGAGCGCCGACCCTAAGTCATTTTATTTCCGTCGTAAAGTGAAAAATAAACTGAAGTCGTGTCAAAAGCCAAGGTAGTGTTGCAAATAATATAAATCAATTGCCTGATACATCTCAATGTTTACAATCGTGAATATGACAGCTGTTTTAAGGAAATTTGCAACTCGTGTGATGAAATAAACACTTTGCCGCCATTTTTTTCCAACCAATTACCAAGGGAAATAATCCAATCATTAAAAATATTGGTAAACTCGGCCCATGATCAACTCGGACCACGACAAGACGAAACGGCATGACTCATAATCATGTCACAAAAAATAAAATGAAAAAATAAAATAAAATGGAAATACCGACCTACCTACCCTATTTTTTTAAAGTATGTAACCTTAAACAGACATATATTTGTTTTTGGCCTAAGTCAAAAATAAACTGACAACTCCATGGCAAAAAAAGAAAAAGACACACAACAGTATACAAAACACAACATAGAAAACTAAAGACTGAGCAACACGAATCCCTACAAAAACCATCAAAGTCACAGCCACTTAGGTCAATAACTGATGACAAATGGCAAACATACTTTGGATTCATTTATTTTTGTCTGTATCAATTTTCGTGGATTGATGAAAAAATTAAATTTTGTTGATATTTGATTTCATGGTTTTGCACAAGTCTGCAGACAAGCAAGCCTATAGAAAATGTATATTTCGTTGAATATCTAAATTTGTGGTTCACAATTATACACGAAATCCGCGAAAATTTATATATAGTGAATACTAATGAATGCACAATACAGTAAAACGATTTGTATGATATTTTAACCAGACTTTGTGAAGATACAATATTCCAGCTGATATTATACAAGAAATGCATGTAAACTTTGAACTTTCATTTTAACAGGCACATATACTGGACTGATTGGTCAGAACCAGCAAGGCTTGAGAGGGCAGCATTAGATGGTACAGGGAGACAGATTGTTGTTGAGGACATAGGCAAAGTCCATGCCGTAACAATAGATTTTACAGAGAAAAAGATCTTCTGGGCGAGCATTGACAAAGCTATGATTGAATCGGCCAACATTAATGGTATGTTAAACAAAGTTATGAGGTCATGAAAAATTGCAATCTTAATGAAAAGTTTACAATGGCAGGTTGGCAAAGAGGGTGTATCTTTGATCCGAAAGAATATCACAATAAAAAACTTTGCCTCCCACACTAACAATGCAGACAATTAACACACACCACACTATCCTTAAACTCTGGATCCACTTCTATCTTTCACATTTTATCTGCTAAAAGTTGAACAAAACATAAACCCATATCTTAGTAGAATAAACATGGAATATTTAAGGAGGGGTAAAGATTGGAAATGCAATCAAAACCCAATGGTACTGATTTGATATCTATATCTTCCAAGGTTCCCTTGATAGTTCAAACAAAATAGTGCAGTGAAGTGATCATTATTTAGATCCTACCCTTACTTTGATATTTAAGTTACAATATGATCTGTGTTTGAATTACCATACTTGTCAAGAAAACATTTTTTTATTAAGAATTACATAAGTAATGTATGGTGTATAAATCTGTAATAAAAATAGGTTCAACAATGAACAAAGGAAGATAACTCCAACTAAATTTTTTATTTTATTTAAAAATTCACAAAATTGCAAAATGAAAGCAATCTTTACTCTTCAGTGCTCAAAAGCACTTTGATTGTTTAGAAGTTATTTAAGTGCTGTAAATTCAGAAATTATAGTGTACATTTGTTATTGCAATTTTTTAAGAAAGGACAAAAATGTGAGATTAATTATTGCAATTGTATGAAAATCTGCATACAGATATACATGTATGTATCCCATATCAGAATACAAGTTCTTATTATTTCAATACTCACCCAGTTGCATTATTCACATTGATTATAATGAACCTCGCAATAATTTACAGTAAGTTATTTGCAGGTGGATGTATTTTTTTGAAGAAATATTGTATTGATATTTATTAATTTAATTTGGACAAAAAGATTTGACTGTCAGAGTAAAAATACATGTTTTTATATAGTAGTTACAAATCATATCACTTAAGTACTACCAGATCTATAAATGTATGTGAACAAAAATCTGAATGTGAGTTGATATTAAATTTGATAAGTGCAAGACAAGTTTCTAAAATAGCCTGTATTAAGATGCCAATAGTTATGAAGGACAAAAACACATAATTCAAATTAGAGAAAAACAAATCTGAACAAAATAGTTAAAAACTAAGAACCAAATGAATATCACAAGATTTAGTCTTGAAAGATTTTTTTATAAAACCTTATTCATGGTATAACTGCAGAAACCTTTGAGTTTGAATGTGTAATTTTTAACCAGATTTTTTCGAAGGAAATATTGGTTATTAAATTGGGGATGTTCGGCGGGCGGCTGGGCTGGCGGCTGGGCGGCTGCCAAACAGTGTCTGCACAATAACATGAATAACAAATTTTTTCAAATTTAAATATGTTGTTTCCTGGTAAAAGCAGTAAATTTTATGAAACGCAACAAACCATGAAAATTGACAGAAATAGTTGTAACATTTTCTGTTTTTTTTTTCAGGTACTAACAGAACTCAGATTATTACAAACCAGGTACCCAAACCTATGGGTTTAACTCTGTACAATGACTTCATATTCTGGGCTGACTGGGAACAGCAGACAGTAGAGAAAGCAAATAAGACCAATGGAAATAATCGTACCACACTTCGAGATCACATGGGTGTTGTCATGGATATATTGGTCTATCATTCTTCAAGACAAGCAGGTAAGAAAAACATTTGTGTAGAATGCTGAAATTATGGGGTTTATATTCCAGTGTGTGATTATTTCATGATTCTTGAGAACTATGTTTCTTGTGATGAATCACAATTATCATGTTCAGGGGGCGGATCCAGCCAATTTTAAAAGGGGGGAGGGGTTTCAACCCAGGATAAGGGGGGAGGGGGTTCCAATCATATGTCCCCATTCAAAAGCATTGATCGTCAAAAAAAAAGGGAAACCCCCCTCCCTCGTGTACTACTGACAAGATTGATGTCATTTGTTATCAGCATCTTGACAGTGATGAGTTGTAACTTTGATATGTCAGACAACTACTTTCTATTTCCCCATACTTTGAATTTTCAATATGCTGAACAGAACAGAATGGCTTCATGTTTGGTTAGCAGCTTGACATGGGTGATTTGTAATGCTTGAGTGCTTTTTTGGTTGGTCGGACACCTAATTCCTATTTTCTGATACTTTGAGTTAGGTGTGGAGAATATTTAACACAACACATATAAATTCTTGTTTTACCTTTACCACCATTTGCACATTTAACACTGTAATTATTCATAGTAAATGTTTGCTCAAAATGTCAGTAAGAATCAAGAGTTTCGTTTCAGGTTTAAGGGTTAGAGATAAGAAGTTCTGTTCTATATGAAACTAATGATAACAAATCAATGGTCGTTACTATAGAATCATTATTATTAGTGGGATACCCATTTCGTGGATTAAGGTGGTACCTAACACTACAGGGAGATAACTCTGTAAAAATCAGCTAAACGTTTTAATTACGTTGTATTGTTAAGGAAATATTAAGCTTCTCAATGATCAAAATAAGTGTTTGTCAAACTGCTATATAACCAAAGAAATTTTTCTGATAAAGTGGTTGGTTCAAATTTTTTGAAATTTTTATATTTTTGTCAAAGGGTCAAAGTAAACATTTTGTCAAAATTTTATGAAAATTAAACGAGCCAAATTAATATTAGTCAAGGTGTTGGGTACCACCTTAAGTTGTATTGGAAAATCACAGCAGCACAAATTTTCTATAGGCTTGTATTGAGATTTTGTAAAAACCTCAAAATCAAATATACACAAAAATGTCTTTATTCCTCAATCCACAAAAATTGATATCCACGAAAATAAATGAATCTACAGTAAAGATCACAACACAACTTTTAAACTCTGTGCCTCAAAATTTAGTTTCTTGCTGCAGTAACAACTGTATTTCAATACTGTTTTTACAGGAACCAACAGTTGCCATGACAAAAATGGAGGATGTTCACACTTGTGTTTGGCACATCCTATTGAAGATGGTAAAAATCTTAGTCATCACTGTGCTTGTCCTACTCACTACAAATTGAATGCAGATAATAAAACATGTTCAGGTAAGTACATCATAAAGAAGAAAATGAATGTATGTGTCATTAGTATTTTTGTCGAACACTAAAAACCAAATGTTGACTGAAGAATGTGATTTGAATTGGTAATATACCTTTGCCAGACGTGCAGACTTTCCAGATTTATGAGGGATTTCCCAAGGGTTGATTGCAAACATCATTACATACCTGCCATCTTTTCATAATATCCATGAGGGATTTTAAGGGCAAGAGGACCTAATGCTCCTCGTATATTGTCACAAGTGTTCTTAATCTACTACTATATTGTTTGAATGAGAATATATGTACTTAAATACCATTTTAACTCATTTGAATGCCTGTTTTAAGGTGTTCAGTGTATATAATAAAGAATTTCGGAACTCAAGTCACCTCTAATCGGGATAATTGGCAGATCTGAACATAATTTCGTGTATCACCTAAAATTCACCATGGACCGCACCATGCATTAAAAATTATCTGATTATGTGGTATGGGATACATATGTACTTAAAGGTTTTGTGTTATTTCCTGATTCATAAAGAGAAAATATTTGAGTAGGTTTCAAAATAACTGTAAGAAGGAAGTGGCCGTAGATTTGAGGTGACCTTTAGAGAATGTTGGACTAAGTTTATTGCAAAATTTACATTTTTCGTAAAATTTGTTGGACAAAATTTAGAGAAATCCTGATATTAGGTTGAACTAATTAAGATTTCTTAAATATGCGTTCTATATATTTATATCTCAACTTTACTAATTGTCAACCAAAAATTTATCTCGGACCTTATAGAAGTTAAATTAATATGCTCTATTATCATACAAAATATCATAAATCATGACGGATAATTGATTGCTAACTTTATATCTGTGCACCTGATATAGATTTTGAATGCATTTATGATTTCAACATGACAGTTTATTTTACCATTTATTTCTATTTCAGCACCAAAGACTTTTCTTTTGTTTAGCCAGAAAAATGTGATTAGTCGTTTAGTGATTGATAATGATGATGTTGACCCACAAACGCCAGAAGTAGTGCTACCTATTCCTCATTTAAAGAATGTGAAAGGACTAGCATACGATCCAGTCGATCATTACATATACTGGATAGAAGGAAAACAAAACAATATAAAGAGGTCAACAGATAACGGTACTAATGTAAGTACATAAAGACGTTCATATGTGTGGTATGATTGCTAATGAGACAACTATCCACAAAAGACAACTAAAGGATGTTGATGATGATAGTGAAAGCAACTATAGATTACTGTATTGTCTTCAACAATTAGAAAAACCTATACTTGTATAGTAGGCTATTAAAGGCCCTGACATGAAAAAATGTACCCAAATAGACCTTTTGTACTAATTTTAACTTTTTTCACTATTTTGGGGAATTAAAAAATCTACCAGGAAAAAAATTCATTGGTATTATACTGTTATTGTATAAAAGAATTATGGTCAGCAGTGGTCATTGTGTCAGTTAGGGTAAGATTTTGCTGACATCAGGAGTAAAAATTGTAAGTACTCTTTGTTTATACACTTTTCTATTAGTAATTTGGAATGAGTTCCTATTGGAGTAAGTGATTTTATAAGAAATTGAGGTCAGTGCAATCATCAGAAAAGGAGAATTGAAAATTTCAACTAAAAAAGAAATTATGATTTAGTTAGGTTTGCAACAGATAATGAACTTTCAAAGGTATTTCAACTGCCATCTTGTAAGGGTCATCTCCTCAAGTGCAGGAGGTAGTAGGTTTGATTTCTGACCAGCTCAAACCAAGGACCAAGTGCAAGAGGTAGTGGGTTTGATTTCTGACCAGCTCAAACCAAGGACTTGAAAATTGATTCTCTGCTGTGAAATGCATGCTGCATTTAGGAGTAAGACTGATCAGCTTGATGTCAGAATAATGTTTTCAAGTAGAGTGACATGTATTCATTGTGACTCTTACATTGTGAACTGGCATGCTAAAAACTCAGCTCAGCCTGTCAGTCTTGTACAAGGCAGGGTTCATATTCATATCACATTAACATGTTCTGGTCCTGATATATAAAAATAAGAAGATCTGGTATAATTGCCAACAAGATAACTCTCCACAAGAGACCAAATGACACAGAAATTAACAACTATAGGTCACCGTACGGCCTTCAACAATGAGCAAAACCCATACTGCATAGTCAGCTATTTATATATTGATGTTAAACACCAATTCATCATCATGTAAAGGTATTTTTAAACCTTTTGTATATTTTGTTTTCCAGGTACAAGTAATAGTCCGTAATGATAATGAAGCTTACAAGCCGTACGACATGGCCATCGATCCATACTCTAGAGTAATATACTGGACAGATGCCAAGAGAAATGTTATTAACATCACAAGGCTAGATGGAAAATCTCTTGGTGTGGTCATCGAGGGAGAGAAAGAGAAACCAAGATCTATCGTGCTTAATCCACTCAAAGGGTAACTTTATCAATATTTTGAAGAAGAGGGTCTTTGGGGATGGGGAGCTTGAACCTAAGATTGATTGATTGTGTTTTAGGCTACTTTCAGCACACTTGGGCTATATTATAAAGAATTGCCAGTTTTGAAATATTGATGGAGAAAGCCAGAGTACCCAGAAAAAACCGGCGACCTTTGGAAGGAAAACTTAAAATCCTAGTCAATAAAGATTGGAGTCAAATTTACCTTGCTACAAGTGGATTTGGAACTCAATCGTCAATGTTGATTGGTTATTGAATACTGCAGATGAAAACTCAGACCACTTGCAAAGCAGGCTGTATAAGACTTTAGACAAGAATCCTGATAACTGAAAAATTATCAAAGAATTAAATCTTTTATTGTTTTTTCCCCAATTGTCATGTCATTTACATTAAGATCTCCAGCAATGGTTAATAGAGGCTACTCCCTAAGATACCTGACAATGAATAAATAAGATCTCCAGCAATGGTTAATAGAGGCTACTCCCTAAGATACCTGACAATGAATAAATAAGATCTCCAGCAATGGTTAATAGAGGCTACTCCTTGAGATACCTGACAATGAATAAATAAGATCTCCAGCAATGGTTAATAGAGGCTACCCCTTAAGATACCTGACAATGAGTAAATAAGATCTCCAGCAATGGTTAATAGAGGCTACTCCTTAAGATACCTGACAATGAATAAATAAGATCTCCAGCAATGGTTAATAGAGGCTACTCCTTAAGATACCTGACAATGAATAAATAAGATCTCCAGCAATGGTTAATAGAGGCTACTCCTTAAGATACCTGACAATGAATAAATAAGATCTCCAGCAATGGTTAATAGAGGCTACTCCTTAAGATACCTGACAATGAATAAATAAGATCTCCAGCAATGGTTAATAGAGGCTACTCCTTAAGATACCTGACAATGAATAAATAAGATCTCCAGCAATGGTTAATAGAGGCTACTCCTTAAGATACCTGACAATGAATAAATAAGATCTCCAGCAATGGTTAATAGAGGCTACTCCTTAAGATACCTGACAATGAATAAATAAGATCTCCAGCAATGGTTAATAGAGGCTACTCCTTAAGATACCTGACAATGAATAAATAAGATCTCCAGCAATAGTTAATAGAGGCTACTCCTTAAGATACCTGACAATGAATAAATAAGATCTCCAGCAATGGTTAATAGAGGCTACTCCTTAAGATACCTGACAATGAATAAATAAGATCTCCAGCAATGGTTAATAGAGGCTACTCCTTAAGATACCTGACAATGAATAAATAAGATCTCCAGCAATGGTTAATAGAGGCTACTCCTTAAGATACCTGACAATGAATAAATAAGATCTCCAGCAATGGTTAATAGAGGCTACTCCCTAAGATACCTGACAATGAATAAATAAGATCTCCAGCAATAGTTAATAGAGGCTACTCCCTAAGATACCTGACAATGAATAAATAAGATCTCCAGCAATGGTTAATAGAGGCTACTCCTTAAGATACCTGACAATGAATAAATAAGATCTCCAGCAATGGTTAATAGAGGCTACTCCTTAAGATACCTGACAATGAATAAATAAGATCTCCAGCAATGGTTAATAAAGGCTACTCCTTAAGATACCTGACAATGAATAAATAAGATCTCCAGCAATGGTTAATAAAGGCTACTCCTTAAGATACCTGACAATGAATAAATAAGATCTCCAGCAATGGTTAATAGAGGCTACTCCTTAAGATACCTGACAATGAATAAATAAGATCTCCAGCAATGGTTAATAGAGGCTACTCCTTAAGATACCTGACAATGAATAAATAAGATCTCCAGCAATGGTTAATAGAGGCTACTCCCTAAGATACCTGACAATGAATAAATAAGATCTCCAGCAATGGTTAATAGAGGCTACTCCTTAAGATACCTGACAATGAATAAATAAGATCTCCAGCAATGGTTAATAGAGGCTACTCCCTAAGATACCTGACAATGAATAAATAAGATCTCCAGCAATGGTTAATAGAGGCTACTCCTTAAGATACCTGACAATGAATAAATAAGATCTCCAGCAATGGTTAATAGAGGCTACTCCTTAAGATACCTGACAATGAATAAATAAGATCTCCAGCAATGGTTAATAGAGGCTACTCCTTAAGATACCTGACAATGAATAGATTAGATCTCCAGCAATAGTTAATAGAGGCTACTCCTTAAGATACCTGACAATGAATAAATAAGATCTCCAGCAATGGTTAATAGAGGCTACTCCTTAAGATACCTGACAATGAATAAATAAGATCTCCAGCAATAGTTAATAGAGGCTACTCCCTAAGATACCTGACAATGAATAAATAAGATCTCCAGCAATGGTTAATAAAGGCTACTCCTTAAGATACCTGACAATGAATAAATAAGATCTCCAGCAATGGTTAATAAAGGCTACTCCTTAAGATACCTGACAATGAATAAATAAGATCTCCAGCAATGGTTAATAAAGGCTACTCCTTAAGATACCTGACAATGAATAAATAAGATCTCCAGCAATGGTTAATAGAGGCTACTCCTTAAGATACCTGACAATGAATAAATAAGATCTCCAGCAATGGTTAATAGAGGCTACTCCTTAAGATACCTGACAATGAATAAATAAGATCTCCAGCAATGGTTAATAGAGGCTACTCCTTAAGATACCTGACAATGAATAAATAAGATCTCCAGCAATGGTTAATAGAGGCTACTCCTTAAGATACCTGACAATGAATAAATAAGATCTCCAGCAATAGTTAATAGAGGCTACTCCTTAAGATACCTGACAATGAATAAATAAGATCTCCAGCAATAGTTAATAGAGGCTACTCCTTAAGATACCTGACAATGAATAAATAAGATCTCCAGCAATGGTTAATAGAGGCTACTCCTTAAGATACCTGACAATGAATAAATAAGATCTCCAGCAATGGTTAATAGAGGCTACTCCTTAAGATACCTGACAATGAATAAATAAGATCTCCAGCAATGGTTAATAGAGGCTACTCCTTAAGATACCTGACAATGAATAAATAAGATCTCCAGCAATAGTTAATAGAGGCTACTCCTTAAGATACCTGACAATGAATAAATAAGATCTCCAGCAATAGTTAATAGAGGCTACTCCTTAAGATACCTGACAATGAATAAATAAGATCTCCAGCAATGGTTAATAGAGGCTACTCCTTAAGATACCTGACAATGAATAAATAAGATCTCCAGCAATGGTTAATAGAGGCTACTCCTTAAGATACCTGACAATGAATAAATAAGATCTCCAGCAATGGTTAATAGAGGCTACTCCTTAAGATACCTGACAATGAATAAATAAGATCTCCAGCAATGGTTAATAGAGGCTACTCCTTAAGATACCTGACAATGAATAAATAAGATCTCCAGCAATGGTTAATAGAGGCTACTCCTTAAGATACCTGACAATGAATAAATAAGATCTCCAGCAATGGTTAATAGAGGCTACTCCTTAAGATACCTGACAATGAATAAATAAGATCTCCAGCAATGGTTAATAGAGGCTACTCCTTAAGATACCTGACAATGAATAAATAAGATCTCCAGCAATAGTTAATAGAGGCTAATCCTTAAGATACCTGACAATGAATAAATAAGATCTCCAGCAATAGTTAATAGAGGCTACTCCTTAAGATACCTGACAATGAATAAATAAGATCTCCAGCAATGGTTAATAGAGGCTACTCCTTAAGATACCTGACAATGAATAAATAAGATCTCCAGCAATAGTTAATAGAGGCTACTCCTTAAGATACCTGACAATGAATAAATAAGATCTCCAGCAATAGTTAATAGAGGCTACTCCTTAAGATACCTGACAATGAATAAATAAGATCATGAATAAATCTGAATTAAACTTACCTGTTAGGAGACAATTTGTAAAACACATTTGCCTTTGAAAAAAAAGATGTGGGTTATACATCAAAAAGAATTCAACCCCAAAACACAAAAAAAAAAACAGGACGCTGAAGGTAAAACTTGATACTTATAACATTTATGTACAAAAAAAATAATGATATGAACGAATGGTAACAGTAGTTCATCGAGGTTCAAATCTGGTAAATCCATTAAGAATAATTACTGATCAAAATAAAAACAAAATTTGAGGGAATCCCATGATCTCTAAACAGAGTGGATCAAGTGTGTTGTCAACAGGTTAAATATTTCCTGCTCTGCATGTATTACCCATCATGCCGTGTAAATCTACAATCTGTCAAAATGTAACAATGGAATAGGATACAATCAGTAATTCTAATGCAACATCGTTTGTAACGTTCATTTTGATTGGATAACTTCACCAATTTTCATGGTATCAATTCATAATTGATGCTATGAAAACTTACACACAAGGGCAGACGACGTATGATAGATTTCAAATGTATGATTATACATTGTTTTCTGTCAGTTTCATTAGAATGGAGATAACAAATATTGTATTTTAAGCTCCGACGGCATCAATTGGTGATGGTTGAAAATGACCGTTTACTTAATTTGCCACTATCAAAATCACCAATTAATGGCGTCGGAGCTTAAAATACATTACAGTTATCTCCTAAATGTACAGATCAGACAATCATTCTGATACCATGGATTCATTATTATTCGTGGGATACCAATATTTGTGGATTTCATTTGTGAAGGTGAACCACAAATTTGAAAGTTCAGCGAAGTGTAAATTTTCTAGAGGCTTTTCTCGCTGTGTTGAAGACCCATTGATGGCCTTCGGCTGTTTTCTGCTCTTGGGTTGTTGTTTCTTTGACACATTCCCCATTTCCATTCTTAATTTTATATTGTATGCAGAATTTTGCAAAACTATGAGATCAAATATCCACAAAAACCAGAGTTCTTGAAAAGTGGTAGTCTGAAGGTTTTGACCACCAAAAATGATATCCACGAATCGAAAATAAATGAATCAACAGTATCTTAAGATGTGAGACTTAAAAAAAACCTTTCTCTTGGGAGTTGAGACAATCTATAACGGCCAATAATATTTTATTTATATTTTCTCAGGCACATGTATTGGGTGAACATGGTACAACCACCAACAATTGATAGAGCGGCCATGGATGGTACAGAAAGAATGACATTGTTTTCCAAAGCTTTAGGAAAACCTGGTCCACTGGCAGTGGATGTTCAGAATTCAAGGTTGTACTGGGCAGATGGAAATCTCAATCGAATCGAATGCTCGGACCTTTCGGGTGGTAACAGGATAGTTTTAGTTGATGGTCAGATAGCTAGTCCCAAAGGAATGGCTGTTCTAGGCAAATATTTGTACTGGATTGACCGGGACCATATGCTGATGTCAAGGGCCGACAAAATAAATGGGAAGGACCGTACTTACATACAGGGTCGCTTGAAGGGCCTAAGTGACCTTCATGTTGCATTGAACGTGTTGCCAAAACATATGGAACATCCGTGTGCACATAACAATGGAGGTTGTTCACATATCTGTGTTGCTAAGGGAGACGGCAGTTCGCGTTGTGCTTGTCCGACTAATTTAGACCTAAAAGATGACTTAAAAATGTGTGCCGATCCTCCCACCTGTTCTCCCGTTCAGTTCGCTTGTTTGAGTGGAGATATACAATGTATTCCGCGTACTTGGCGCTGTGATAAATCTGAGGAATGCCAAGATGCATCTGACGAATTGAAATGTCCCATTTGTCATGCCGATCAGTTTCGTTGTAACGATAATCATTGTATCGATCAGAGTTATGTTTGCGATGGGACGCCACAGTGTCATGATCATAGTGACGAGGAACATTGTTGTTTGGAGGGGGATACAATGTGCCCTAATACTACCCCTCCCCATTCATGTAAAGGGCCTAACTGCCTAGGAACTAAAGCATCATCAAATCCATCCACAGCACATTATACTATTATCATAGTCATCGGCCTTATTGTTCTCGTGTTAATTCTCGGAATCATTTTCGCTTGCAAGAGGAAGTCACAGCCACCGGGAGTGATAATTTATGAAACTGATATGAGTGTAGTTAAACCATTAACCGATCAGACAACTTTAAATTCATTATCATCTCATGGGAAATCTCATGAAACAGGATTGTCGCTTGGTTCTGTCGGGACAACTGGCATTTACGACAGAAACCATGTGACCGGTGCTTCCTCTAGTAGTTCTACAGTGACAACATATCCACACGAGACGTTGAATCCCCCTCCTAGTCCGGTCACAACAGATAGGTCTGTGTGTAATGGGGAATTCTATGGATATTCATCTAACAGTCCATCTACTGTCAGGTCGTATCGACCTTATAAGCTCCGCCCAGTGCCACCCCCACATACAACGCCATGTAGTACGGACGTTTGTGAGGAAAGTGAACCTTATCCGTATAATGTACGGAGTAAAAAACATAAATCGAAACGTTCTATAATGGAATTGTTTTCAGACTATGATCCTTATCCTCCGTGTCCTACCCCACGGAGTCATTACTTCTCAGACGAAATGATCAGTTGTCCACCATCACCATCGACAGAAAGAAGTTTTTCAAATCCATATCCCCCTCCCCCATCGCCAGTGGCTAATTCTGATTGCTAGAGTTTGTTAGTATACATGTTGAGCATTAGGTGTGTGTCGGTGTTTAAGACTGAGTGTGTGTGCTTGTGTGGATGAGGTGGAAGTGTTAAAACGATGTCAGCATTATCTAGATATATTGTTAAAACTTGTACTTGGCTTTATTTTTTGTAGGTCAATATTATATGGCAATATAGATATAATACATTTACTGTACAAATTGTAATAATAATAAAAGAATTCAATTATACAAACAAATATCTGATAAAGCTGATGTTGGGTATAGAATGTGATGCAAAAAATATATAACAATAATAGTATTAAACTTGGAAGGGAAATTGGTTTTATGAAGTTTACCTGCATAACTGACAAAGTGCTCAATTTAAGTCGTTAGGTGAGGTAAAGGGGCAGGTTCTCTTTACAAAAAACTATCTCTTCCTGTTGTTTGCCAGGACTAGCTTTTTATCGAACTAATGATATTGAAAAATTATTGTTAGGTCAGCTCAAAACAGATTTCTAGATTCTCGTCCCCATGGTCCCAGCACTCAATTGAAATTAGCCCTGTTTTATTATAATCTTTCCTTTTTGCATCAAAGTGACTGAAGTTGCTGACAAATTATGAAAAAAAAATTGCAGGGAAGAGGGGGGATAATAAATCATATTTTTACACTTTTGCACCCAGGCATATGCTTCCTTAGAAGTGAGTATCTTAAAGGGAGATAACCGAAGAAAGGAGTAGGCCCAGTAAGACCCCTTTTTGGCCCCAAAATATAGCAGTTTTACAAAATTGTTAAAATGTAGATTTTTAGCTATTTATTGGAAAGAAGAATACTTCTGTTACATAAATATGGGCTGTTTTTGACAATGCAATGCACATGTATCGGGTACTTAAGCATCATTAAGTCATGCTAAATTACTGAAATCTTCGAAATTTTAGCATTTTGGTTAATTTTTAGACGGTTTCCGTCTGAAATGGAAGTGGCCTCATTTGTGTTCATTCTTAATATTTAAATGTAAGTTGTATTTGATGATAATACATAACATATATAAAGGTTGAGAATGAATACGGATGCGGCCACTTTCATTTTTGACAAAAACCATCTGAAAAGTGACATATTATACCATATTTGATAGATTTTTCATATTTAAGCTTGAATTTGAGTGTCTTTCATGACTAAATCAGTTCAAATCCTACACATAAACTAATTGAATTGACTGAAGAAGACACTTAAGTGTTTAAAAAGTTACCAAAATCTTTCATCAGATGAACCTGAATTTTGAGGCCAAAAACAGCCCTTACCAGACCTACTCCTTTGTTAAAATTATTATACATTTGTATCAATTGTAAAAATGTTACTGGTAATTTTAATCTGTCAATTTTTATTATCTGCACACCTGACATAAGCCACAAAAGAAAAAAAAAAGAAAAAACATTTTGCATATCCAAATTTTCAAACTAGTTGAATGAGAATCTAGAAAATATTTTGTTATGGCCATAGTGGTAGATCAAAGCATCTTATATGATTCATTGCATTACTTGTATCTGTGCATTAAGAATATGTGCTACCGCTTTACATGTATATTATTTTTGGTGCTCAACACTTTAAAAAATGGGCATTTTATAAACAAAAAAATAAAGCCATGTATAAAGTATTATTGTATAGAAATGATATTTATACAGTGTACAATATGTATATAAAGGTCAAAAGGTCAACAGTCACCAATCACTGATACAAAATCTTCAAATATTAATTGGCATTCACAAAATTTCAAAAGTAAACATAGCATTCATAAAATTTCAAATTTAATCATAGCATTTACAAAGTTTCAAATGTTAACATATAGAATTCACAAAATTTTAAATGTAAACATGGCATTCACAAAATTTCAAATGTAAACATGGCATTTGCAAAGTCCCAAATGTTAACATATAGAATTCACAAAATTTTAAATGTTAACATAGCATTCACAAAGTTTTGAATGTAAAAATAGCATTCACAAAGTTTCAAATGTTAACATAGCATTCAAAAAGTTTTGAATGTAAACATAGCATTCAAAATATTTCAAATGTAAAACATAGCAGTTGCGAAGTTTCAAGTTTAACATTTAATTCACAAAATTTAAAATGTAAACATAGCATTTGCAAAGTTCCAAATGTTAACATATAGAATTCACAAAATTTTAACTGTAAACATGGCATTCACAAAATTTTAAATGTAAAACATAGCATTTGCAAAGTTTCAAATGATAACATAGAATTCACAAAATTTTAAATGTAAACATGGCATTCAAAATATTTCAAATGTAAACATGGCATTCACAAAGTCTCAAATGTGAACACGGTGAACATGGCATTCACAAAATTTCAAATGTAAAACATAGCATTCACAGAGTCTCAAATGTGAACATAGCATTCACACGAAGTCTCAAATGTAAACATTGTATTCATAACATAATAAAATTTTTTTTTAATTATTTCACATGTCAACTGAAGTGGATGACTTACTATCAAAACTCAAAATTGACAATACATAAACTCCTAATTTTTTGTCAGGGTTAATGTTGGTATGTTTTATCTAAAATTTATGTTTTAATTGGTGAATTTTTAGAAAAATCTGAATCTATAATTGCATTCTATATTTTTTTATAGGGCTGATTTATATGGGTCATTGAATATAGGGCAAACAAACTGTTTTGAATTATAGGTCCTGGTGAACTGGGTACTAGGATTCAATCTTTAATTGTATCATTGATTTGTGACTTTTGATCTGTGTACATTTTGTAGATAGAGCTATGTAACCAGGGCACAACTGCCAAAAATATCTTGTTGTTATTGTGTTGATTCATTTTTTTGTTCATGACCTTGTTTACCGATTTTTCAGTTTTTTTTTACTTGGAAATGGCAGAAATTTTATTCCCTTCGCGTAATGATGGGAGAAATAAAAAAAATGTTATTAAGGATTTGTGCTATTGCTAAAAATAGATGCCTTTTTAAACTGTATGATTTTCAAAAAAGGGATTGTTAGTTTTATTCTACGAAATCCTATTTTTTAAATCTCAAATTTACAAAGCGATAACAATATTTGTTTGAAAAATTGATTGTTTTAGTTTCAAATCATTGGTCAAGGGTTTTGAATAATTTAAAAATTTTTAAAGTAATTTGATTATATCATGGGTTCCAACAAAACTTAAAAATATAAGTTTTGGCAATTAACCCGACAAAAATCAAGGATCGTACTACCTGACCTTAACTCCTGAATCGTCCTGAACATGCATGAAATATTTGCCAGTGGACGTCAAGCAACCCACAATCAATCAATTAAATCCTGGATCATTGCCTGATATGCTTTTTGAATAAGATTACTATCCCTTTTAAATTTCGATGTTAGGAGTTTTCTTGTATCTCTTTTCTATTCCTGATCTCTCTCAACTCTTTCTTTGTTTTATTTGTTTGTGTTTATGTTTGTTAACACACAAAGGGAAGACTTCCCCGTACGATTAAAGAACTTTTTAAAAAGTTTCACAATTTTACTGAGAATAGTTTTTGTTATTGAGTTTTGAAAACTTTTATTGCATGCTGTTGTAATCTTAAAAAGATTTACAAATTTTGAAGATTACACACTTTATGGAGCAAAGATGCCATTTTTTTAATTTTTTTTTGAATGCAAATTAGTAGTTTACAACAAATATTTATATATTTACAATTCTTAGAATTTGTTTGTGTGATACTTATTTTATATTGTGATCGAAATACAAAGTAGTGCTGAAAAATAACAAAGGAAGGTTGTCAAACTTCACTTTTATATGAGAAATATTTTGTTGTTTTATAAAAATTTTAGGTACAATGTTGTTACTGACTTTTTTTTATTATTTTTAAGGCTGTTTTTGAAAATACCAGAATTGAGCTGCCAACATCTTGGGCAATGTAAAGTTTTCTTTTTTTTTGCCTAAATAGAAGACTAATTTCTTTGTTAAAACATTATGATTTAATGTTCCATGTGCATTTTTTTTTAAGAAGAATGAATAGTTTTGATAATGGCTTTGCAAATGTCATCTTGAAGTGCATGAAATATTTGCCACTGGACATTAAGCAAACAACACCTTTATTGATCGTTTACCATTGTTAAAGAGTTAGAAATTTTTTCTTGTAAGATTTTTTGTGAAATGAGTCATTTATACATGTAAGATGTGGCAGTTGAATTCTGGGAAATGCTGTGCATTTAAAACCAAGTTTTAGAAACTTCTCCGTTTTGTTTTTTAATTATGAAGGTTGAATTGAAATGAAAAATATATTGCGTGTGTTTAATAGATTTCATATCTGGAAAAAAAATACATGTATGAAGATGTATATACATGTACCTCTACTTAATTATACAAGGTGAACAAAGTTTTAAAATAACTCAGGAATTTTGTTTATGTAGCCCTGGAAAATTCTGTTTCTGAAAAATGTCACATTATTGGTAATTTGTTATCAAATACTAAGGACAGTTTAATGATGTTTGTAGGAAGAAGGAGTTGGGGGTGATAAAGTAAGGGAAAAATTGTTCAGTTCAAATTTTTTATGTCATTAAAGAAAATTAATTAGTCGTCTCTCTGTCCCATGGAAATCATGCTTAGAAAATAGGAAAATATAAGATAAAAATCAATGATTTTTGAAATACGGGACTAAGTACAGAAATATTAGGATCTACATTCAAGAAAAGAAAACAAATACTTTTTTGTAGTAGTTGAAAATTTTGAGATTTTCAAGACTTCATTTGACTTCCTTTTTTATGGGGGGGGGGGGGGGGGGGGAGACGAGAGACAGGGGATAATTTTTCCTGTAACCTTTTTCTCTCCATATATACATGTTGAATTGTCTCGAGCTTTTACTGATGATTTTTTTTTCACATACTTAGGAGTTCGCATACTTCAAAAACACATATCTGTTCACATACTTCAAAAATACATATCTGAAGGGAGGTAATAGATATATGTACTTGAATAAACCATGTTAATTGGTAAAAATAGATAAATTCCAGAAATGCTTGATGAGAAATTATTGTTAGAATTTCATTCAACTTTATTAACATGATATGAAACAATTGACCAATGAATGAAACATTGTCAAATTTTGTGTAATTTATCATATCCAGTTTTTATTACCTCCCTTTGAAAAGATGTTTCATGGACAGAGTACTGTGTTCATAGTTTACAGAAAGATGTACTTATATTTTCCAGGGCTTCATAAGATCATTATTCAAATTGATTTGAATATTCATATCCACCTAATACTAGTAGAAATTATAATTTATATGAATATTCATGCTCAATTATCATTTGTTATATGAATATTTATGTTCAGTCTCATCATTTAGTTTTATGTACAGATTTTTAAGACGAGAATTTGTTCTGTGTAATTGCTTTATTCATATTGTATGTTCTTTAGATATGTGTTTATATACTATTTAAGGGGATACCCCAGATCTGCTTTTGTGCTATTTTTAATTAAACGGGTAAATGTAAATTTTTTTAATTTAATTTTCAACAGATCTGATGCAGTAGAAGGCTGGTAGTCATGTTGTGATTTGGACACACTTATAATTGTAATCTCAGACTTGGATGAGGGTTGATAATCATGCTAATATGAATGAAACTGGAAAATTTTGGTGAAAATTGTGAATTTATTAACTAAGCTTTAGGTTTAATTATATTTAAGCTAAGATTTAGGTTAAAATTGTGAATTTAACAAAGCTGTAGGTCAAATTAAATTTAAGCTAAGATTTAGGTCAATATTGTGAATTTAACAAAGCTCTAGGTCAAATTAAATTTAAGCTATTAAAGATCTAGGTAAAATTTGTTAATTTAAGTATGCTTTAGGTCCGATTAGATCAAAGGAGTAGGTCCGGTAAGGGCCGATTTTGGCCCCAAATTTCAGGTTCATCTGATGAAAGATTTTGGACACTTTTTAAACATTTAAGTGTCTACTTTAGTAGAATCAATTTATTTATGTGAAAGATTTGAACTGATTTAGTCATGAAAAACGCTCATATTCAAGCTTAAATGTTATAAATCTATCAAACATGCCATAATATGTCACTTTTCAGATGGTTTTTGTCAAAAATGAAAGTGGCCGCATCCGTGTTCATCCTCAACCTTTATATATGTTATGTATTATCATCAAATACAACTTACATTTAAATATTAAGAATGAACACAAATGCGGCCACGTCCATTTAAGACGGAAACCATCTAAAAATTAACTCAAATGCTAAAATTATGAAGATTTCAGTAATTGAGCATGACTTAATGATGCTAGTACCCGATAAATATGCATTGTATTATCAAAAACAGCCCATATGTATGTGACAGAAGTATTCTACTTTCAAATGAATAGCTAAAGGTTTACATTTTAACAATTTTGTAAAACTGCTATATTTTGGGGCCAAAAAGGGGTCTTACTGAACCTACTCCTTTAAGCTAAGATGTAGATTAAAATTGCTAATTAGTGAGTTAAAAGTCCACAGCTTATTTGTCTTTCTGGATAGAGAAAATCATTGGAAAAATTTATATAGAAGATTTTAAATGTTTTGTTATTATATTCTGGTAAAAATGAGCTATTTGAAGTAGACAACAAAATTTGGTTTAACAATAGACAAACCAGCCTTCTACTGTATATATCCCTACACTGGCCAGTAGAACTTCTACACACATGGTAGTTATTTAAAAACAAAACTATTAATGTTTACAAATGTATGTATTTATTTTTTATATTGAACATGATTGAACACTCAACATGCTCAAAGAAATACTTGAAACTTTTAAATTTTGTATATCTATGAAATTATTAATATGGATAAAAATCCAATGAATCTAAAATAATATTTTACTGTTTCCTGCCTCCTGAACACAAAAAAAACATCTTATTGCCTTCTCTCCAAAAAGAAAATACTAACGAAATAGCATTCTGTACTGTTCAAGGATACTATAAATCCTATATCCTCTGACTTGACTAAGCAAATCTGTAATAAAATTTACCAAAATAGAAAAAAAGTTATGAAATTTGAAATTTATAATTTATGAAAAATTGTTTGGCATGTGTGAATTTCTCAATAAAGGTATAAATCCAGAGTGGATATCCCTAAAAAATGTGATTTTTCTGGAATTTGTTGTTAGAAATGATAGACTAAAAAAGTGGAAAAAATGATATTTCCAACTTACTAACCCTATATTCTAGATAGCAGGAGGAAGGAAACCTGCATATTTTGTTATTTGCTTTTTTTTTGGCCCAAGTT